GAGGGGGAGCAGGGGGATGGGGTGAGGATGCTGCCTCACATCCCAGATGCTTCCCTGTGGGAAGACAAGTGACCAGCTCCTGGGGACAACCCTGGGAGGGCTGTGAGAGCTGTGGTTGGAGTGCGGAGGAGCTCAGGCTCCCTCCTGGTCTGTGCTTGCCTTAAAATCAGATTTCTTTCTGGAGCTGCTGGGACAAGGCAATGCCTGGGGATGGGCAAGGCACATCATGCAGGGCCACCGCCCCCTGCTGGGGTGGGTGCTCTCGCTGAGACCCTCTCCATCTCACTGCCCCCTCCTTGCCTTCCTTAGGATGGACGCCTTCCCCACTGATGACCGACCCACCGCCCGGCAATGGACATCCACGGACCACCCACCCACCCGCCGGCCCCGGGGTGAGGATGGGGCTGGCAGAGGGGGCTGCCCTCTGCTCCACAGCCCCTCAGTGCCGCTGTTCCTGCTGCAGAGAACCCGCCCCACTGCGACCCCCTGCACCGGCTGGTTGCTCTCTGCAGTGGGTGACACCCAGGTTCCCACTCACCCCATGGCCACGCCAGCGGGGACCTGGACCTGCGTGGGAGCTGAGCCACAGCCCCGAGTGGGAAGTGGGCAGCCATCCCACCTGAGGGGATTTCTGTAGCCTGGCAGGATGGCAGCTTTTCCTATGACTATTTTGGGAGATTTTATACATTTGTATTTATATTTGAAGACTGTGCTTTCATTCAATCTTCCTGAAAGGCTCTACTTCTGGCTCCTTGTGCTTCACAGAGTACTTTTTATGCTGCAGGCTGGCTTTTCTGGAAGATTGCTCTTATTTTTCCACCAAATAAACGATGGCTGCGTTTCATCTCCCTCTCACCTGTTTGCTTCTTCTCGGCTTGCAGGGCTGTGGGGAGCCAGGCAGGTCCCACATCCCCATGGTCCTGCTGCGGCTGCTTGCTGGGCGCTTCCTTGCAGGGCTATTAGTAGTGGCTGAGATGGAGAGTTTGGGGACAGGGGGGTGACAGTGTGGCTGTATGTCTGGGCTGTTCTGGGCTTTCTCTTCAGCTTTTGTAGCCCACTGTTGCAGTGTTGTTTGGAGGAAGATAGACAGGATTTGTCCCTTCAGTTTTATTTTTTTCTTGAGGTACAAAATTGCCATGAAATCACAACAAATTGCTCATTTTAGTGGAATTTTACCCTTTTATCTGCCTTGGTTTTGCTGTTGTTAGAGATTCAGATGTTGTTAAGCCAAATGCTGAGGGTTTTTTTTTTAAAAAGAAGAAATGCTGATAGACATTCTTCCCAAGTGTGAAAAGCCCACATGGTGAAAACTGCACATCAGGCTGTGCAGGTGGGGAAATAGAATATTTTGCAAAATTCATTGCAGACACACTGCAGCTGTTTGAGAGCGGCTCTATCCTAAGCCCTTAGTAAAATGAGGAGTCCCTAACCTGAGGACACTGTAAGGGGAGACGGGATGTAAAGGGGAGGGACAGACCTCTGGGACAGGGCT